GAGAAAGCCAAGGGGTCCCTGATGCCCTATGCGTGACCTTGATTCCGCTCTTGTGTGCCCGTGGGTGGCCTGCAGCTGCCCCAGCACCAGAGGCCCCCCCGGCGGTGCTAGAGTAGGAAAGCAGCCAGGCAGAGCCTGGAACGGGCACCCTGGACCAGAGGGACAGGGAGGGGTCTCCTTCCAGCTGGCAGACTGCTGCAGTGTTCATCGTGTGGGCCGAGTGGGAACCCATGTGCCAAGGACCGGAAGATTCCCCGACTTCTATACGGACGAGGCATGTGAAGCAGCCACACGGGCATGGATGTGGTGCAGGGCAGACAGCCAGATTCGGCAAAGGACAGGGATGAAAGACGGACAGTCTTCCTGACTCAGGGTGTGACCCAGGGGCCAGGCTAGAGATAAAAGGGCAGAGGAATCGTGTCTGAAACGCACACGGGGCTTTAACTCAAAGTACCTTCCCTAACCCTTTCTGTGTGTCTTTGTTATTCTTTTTTATTATTTTTTTTTTTTTAAAGATTAACAGCTACTTCATCTTTAAAATGAAGTCCATGTGATTTTAAGATGTCAGGCTCCCAAATTCTGAGAGCCAGAGAGCTTGGAAAGCTTTCTCAAAATGACAAAACGAATGGAGAGCTAGAATCCTGGAGTTCAGGCCCTGAAATCTCTCAGCTGTGAGGGCTCTCATAAATTATCCAGGGTCAGTGGCTTTGAAACCGCAGTCTGCTTTCCATTAGTTGGCCGTGTAATCAATTTAGTGGGCAAGCTCAGTTTTTAAACTGAAGAAACTAAAATTTAAAAATATCGGTATGTGTCATTCGCATTGGGAGCAATGATCACTTCAAGATGTTTGTTTCAGTTACGTAACTGCCTTCCGGGCATGCGTTCTCATCCTTGAGGAGTGAGAAGCCAGGGCACAGGCAGCCCCACGGCCCAGGTTCTCCTCTACCCACAGGTAGCCAGAGGTGACCGCCAGCCCAACTTTTGCACTCCTCCCCTCCCCACTTTGTTAGATCACACATTCACGGAGTGCCAGACACCGTTCTAAGCACTTGGCATTGGGGGGCCTGGGTGGCTCGGTTGGTTGGGCATCCGACTTCACTCAGGTCACGATCCATGGGTTCAAGCCCCAGGTCAGGCTAGGTGCTGACAACTCGGAGCCTGGTGCCTGCTTCAGATTCTGCCTCTCTCTCTCTCTGCCCCTTCGCTCCTCATGCTGTCTCACTCTGTCTCAAAAACTGAATAGTCACTAAAAAAAAAAATTGAAAAAAATAATCACTTGGCATTAACTTGCTGAATCCTCACTGCATTCAAGTGCCATCATCCTTATTTTACGGATGAGGAAACTGGGGCACAGAGAGGTTAAGCCATTCGGCCAAAGCTGTAGGGCATGTGGGAGTCGGAGCCCAGGCTCATTGCTGCCGCCCTGGACTTCAGTTCCTGGACCAGACAGGGCTGCGGCATCTCCCTGCGTGGCCTCTGGCACACCAGCCCTGCGGGGCCACCGGAGCAGCAGCCCGGGCGGACCCTCGGGAGGAGGACAAATCCCGGCCGGACCCCCATTCTCCATGCGGCAGGGAGCCGGGGTCCCTGGAGCACAGCTCCTCAGCCCCAGGGTCGTAGCTCCGCCCTCTGCAACCAACGCCAGCCCTCCGCCCCCGTTTCTGGGTGCATTTAAACCATAGCTATTCCAAGATGCCATCTGGGGCCCCCCGAAGTAGCACGGCCATTCTCCTCTGCCCTGCAACCTTCTTGATCTCATCACTATCTGCCAGTAGATTACGTTTTTTCGTGAACTGTCTCCCCAACTGGAAGGAAGTGCCAAAAAGACAAGTATTTTGTCCATGTAGCTCCCGGAAGAGTGAGGGCACTTAGGGGAACCCCAGAAAGACTGTTACTGAGTGAGCAACAAGAGTCGATCCCCTTTGCCCCCTGGGGACACAGCACACACACTCGTATCTATTCTCACGGTGGTCAAACCACCCTAGTTCACCCGTGATAGCAACAACTAGCATGTACGAGTCTGGGGTCTTCGGAGGTTAAGAAGAAGAAGAAGAAAAGGGTTCTCTCAGATGGAGAGAGAAGCTTGAGCAAGTTCACGAAGACCTTGACTGCACTCCACACCGCTCCTCTGGTCTACACGTCCTTTCTGATCTTTTTTGTGCTCCTTGCTGCTCTGAGAGTCTGAGCAGCTTCAGGCGCAGGGTGCCCGCCAGGGAATGAAGCAGTAACCGGATTCGAGGACTCAGCGCACGTGAGATTTTACACGGAGTGGACGGAAGGAAGATGGGAGCTCTTACTGACCAAGGGCTCTTGTTCACGTGTGCCGTCATGAAGCAGGTCACGCCATCTAAGAGCGCAGTGGGAGAGCAGTGAGGGGCACCAAGTGCCGCCCAGGAGAGAGGAGGAGGCGGGAGAGGCGAAGAGGTAGAAACAAACGGACCTGTTGAGGCGTCCCGTCCAACACGGTCCTGGGCCCCCGAGTGCCTCGACACTGGCCTGTGACCCCGGCGCCTGCCGGGAAGGCAGGGAAGGTCCGCAGAGCCTCCGGCCATCGGGGAAGGGAAGAATTCACGTTAGCGAACACCACCTCCCTTGACAAGTAGCTCCACAAATAACTGTAGGGGACGCGCCGTCCTGGCACAGGGCGTGTGGCACATGCGGGAGCTCTGTGACAGGAGAAGGCGGAGTGGCTGGCGTCTGCTTCTGGCGGTGACTCGGGCCAAGCGCACGCGAAGGACATATGTCACTGAGAAGGGCGTCCTCACACCCCCTGCCGACTCACGCGCTCTGCAGCAGTCTCTATTCCCCAGTTTACTTACCTCTGGGCAGGATTTGGGTCAGGTTCGCGGCCCGCAGAGGTTCTGTCCTCCCAGGGAGAAGACCCGTGTGCTCGCCGAGGCCAGCCTGGTAGGCACGCGGCCCGCCCCGCCCCCTGACGGCGGGCAACACGTGGAGAGAACAGCTCGCGAAACACCCCCAGTTAACTCCTCACGTATGTTCTTCCCTTGGACAACATCCAGCAGATGGGAGGAAAACAGAGACACGGCAAGTAAACTCAGATGTTTTATTCTGGAAAGCACATATGCACATATTTCAAACACAGAAAATGAACGTGGGGGTGAATGCCGTAACAGATCAGCTACTGACCACCATGCAGCAAGGGAAGGGAGGGGGTCCGCCGGCCCTCGTAAGCCCGCAGCGCCTGCAGGAGGGTTGGGAACCAGGATACCGAATCCCTACAGACTGCCAAAGAAAACGCAACCGAAACGGCAGGCTCCTAGTGACGAGAAAAACTTACAAATAGAATCAAAACTGATTCAAGTCATACAGTGAAAGCACAAAAGGAAAAAGGAAAGAGATCAATATGATCTGAAACAACCATTTAATAGTAAGTTGCTAACCTTTTATTGGACCTCCAGTCCAAGGTGCCTGAGGACGCGCCATGCTCCCGTGCAGGGTCACTCGGAGCGGCCGTGGGCCCTGTGTGGGACGCTCCGCTAGTCCTGGGGGCCCCCAGCAAGATGCGGCGGAGGACTGGGCCTTGTCTGCAAGGGCCCAGATGGTACCAGGACTCTGGACTTCCTGAGATTTCACGAAAGTCTCTCCAGCCCCTAGACCTCATCACCAGGCCCATGGCCTCTCCTCTTCCCCGCTTCCCTTTATACGCCTGACTGACTCTGGGTTTCCAGAAGCTCTTTGAGGATTTCCCGCTAGAGCGAATGCTGCATTTTAAGTGTTTGTCCTGGCCTCATGACAAGTCATATTGTCCAGGCATTTTTGGCACTTCCTTCCCTCATGCCTAACAGAGTCCTTCCTCCCCTGGTTCGAGATTCCAGCCATTCTCTATAATTAAAACAAGCGTAATTAATATTAGCAACAAGCTGGACTGAATAAACCAGTGAAACCGAGCTTTTCCACCTGTCTTTCTCCATTTGTGTTACTCTGCCAGTTATAAATCTATCCCTGTAACTCTACTTCATGGGGATTTTATTATTTCAGTAGCAGCTTAACCTAAAATCTGTTGGTCTTAATGATACGGATGTTTCTAAAGGCCAAGCCAAATGGCTCTTTCTCACTCTTGTCTCATGAAAGTCTCAAAGTCTCTAAAGAGAAAACTAAAGGACCAGGTTAGCCATGCATCATGTAAGCAACTCATAAAAAAAACAAAAACAAAAACAAAAAAAAACCAACTGGATAGACAAGTACGATCACTACGCTTGAAATGTACTAAAAGGGGGGGAAAAAGGGATATTAACATATTAAGTTACTATAGTGATTATTTTAACAATCTTCAATAAGAGTCCACAATTGTCTTCCATTCAAGAATTCCCGGGATCAAATGTTCTAGGCCAATTATTTCAGACTGCAGGACTAATTCTAACTGGGAACAGATTACAAACCTGAAGTTCAAGGGGAAAAGTGCTGACAGTCACGTCTAAGGTTTTAATTGCCCTTCTGCTACATAACACTGCTCAGGAGAACACAGAAGTCAGTAATGACAAGGACTTATTAAGGCAAAGAGCTATTAAGGAAAAACAGTTAAGAATACACGAAACAAGGGGCGCCTGGGTGGCTTAGTCGGTTAAGCGTCCGACTTTCGCTTAGGTCACGATCTCGCGGTTCGTGGGTTCGAGCCCCGCGTCGGGCTCTGTGCTGACTGCCAGCTCAGAGCCTGGAGCCTGCTTCAGAATCTGTCACTCCCTCTCTCTCTGACCCTCCCCTGCTCACGCTGTCTCTCTCTCTCTCTCCTGGAAATAAATAAAACATTTNAAAAAAAAAAAAAAAAAAAAAAAAAAAAAAAAAGAATACACGAAACAAGAAAGGACTAGAAAACGTAACGCAATTTTTTTTAAACACGAAGATGGAGAAGAAAAAGGGATAAAGGATCTAGATCATCAAAATGCCACAAGAAAGAAAAATGCTTTGGGTTTTTTTCCAGGTTATGTGGCAAATCGGAATTCCTTTCCTCAGATTTCACAGGCATTGTTTCCATGTACTGATCTCCGAGCTGCCATTTTCCTTCTGGAGATACGTTCACTGCATAAAAACATATGCAAAAAGTAAAAGGAAGAAAACAAAATCCACTCCCTCTTCAAAGAAGACCAGAAGCTCTTTTACAACTATTAGACCGAATCATCTGTTTCTCTTTCTATACTGCCAGCTGCACTCCAGAAAATAGAACAGCTAATTTCTACTCTCGAGCCATTTACTTAATTTTTAAGCTCTTTTGAGTGAGGACGCTGCTTCAACTTTACAGAGGGAAGGGGCCACAGAGAAGAAAAAGACAGTCAAACATTCTGTGCCCACTCAACTCAATCAAGACCAGGTTCCTCAGCATCCATGTGGAAAATGAAACTTAGATCTTTACCATGTGGGGGATTTTTAAGTATTTAACTCTTTACTCAAGATAAAAGCACAAGTCTGTCCTAACTAGAGTAGTATTAAAATGTGACTATTTTACTTTTTCTTCCAAGAAAAAAAACAAAACAAAACAGAAGACTAAGGAAGATAGGCATGTTTCCTTGCAAGCAAAATGGAGAAAAAGGTATTATTGTTGTTACCATGATTATTAAGCCACAGACACGTAAAATCCACAAAATGGATTGGTGGCTTTGGAAATGCAGTATCATATCGAAGGTGCAGACTGTTCGGAACATTCTGTACATATCGGGCTGAAACAAGAACCAAAGCAAACCTCAACCCCACCGGCAACGAAATGCCCCTGCGACCTCGGCAAAGACGCAAGGTCTGCTCTGCAGTGGTGCGATCGCGCTCCCCTGGCACCGCGCAGAACCATCCCGAATCCACAGGTGAGGCTGAAGGGTTCCTGCTGCCCCCAGTGCGAAGCACGTGCATCATTGGACCAATTTCTGAATAGATTTTTATAAATATATACAAATCAGTTACAGGCACTTGAAATGTCTTTGGCTGGAATAACCCAACATTGCAAGAGAATATATTCACAGAGTGTCCAGGCCCAGGCTGGGTTCAGCAGGCAATGATTATGGTTCTCTCAGTCTCTCTTAGAAAACAGGCAGTTGTGGGATTAGGCATCAGCCAAAGCCACCTAGAAAAGAGCAGGAGGAACAGTCCAGTCACACGGCAAAGCCCAGGTAACTCAGCGCCCCCAGCACCCTTACTGAGCCCGGGTCCCCAACCAAACACCAGGGAGCCATACGGAATGCATCGATCAGGCGGGGAAATTACTAAATCCCTAAGAAAAACTCTCACTTGGCAGGGAATGAAGAGAAATCTCAAAGTCTCCGCAGGAAGCAACCGATCAAGTGGAACCACCATGCTGAGATCGAGTTAACGGTTTTGAAACCCTGATCAGCATTCTAGGAGAGGATTTCTGAAGCTGATAGAGACAGAGGGACAACAGTCCTTCAGGGTCGGCTGCTCCCCAGGGGGACTCTGAGAACAATTCCCAGTCAATACCTTTCAGCAGCTCAAGGCTTGGGTATATGGCTGAAAATCCAAAACCATGATTTATGCTGAGAATAGACTACTTCTGATAAAAAGACCAGACCTAGTGGGTTCGAGCCCCGTGTCGGGGTCTGTGTTGACAGCTCGGAGCCTGGAGTCAGCTTCAGGTCCTGTGTCCCCCTTTCTCTGCACTCCTCCCCTACTTCCAGTCTGTGTGTCTCAAAAATTAAATTAATTTTTTAAAATTTAAAAAAAAAATGGGGGGAGGGGGCAGATGGGCATGGAGGAGGGCACTTGTGGGGATGAGCACTGGGTGTTATATGGAAACCAACTTGACAATAAACTATTTGTAAGGAAAATAATAAAATAAAAAGAATGAAAAAAAATTAAATTAAATTAAAAAGAAAAAAAAAAGACAGGAACTAATTCCTCTGGAAGAAGGGTGCCACTCGAAATAAATGGCCCAGGGACTAAGTGGGGACTTCCTGTGTGCGGGGATCTTCAGCCAAATGCTGGGCCAGACCCCACCCACTGCTCACCTTCTCAGGACAAAAGTCAGGATTGCTCTGACGCAATTTGCTGGGTCTGCCTTTGATAACCGCATAGCAAAACATCGTTATCACCATCACGAAGAGGAAGTAACTGGTGTGCATGAGATGCAAATTTATTAATGACCGGTCATCCTAAATGAAGAGAATAAACCAGAAACATGTGCACTGAGTTACTGGAAGATTTCAATGCTGGGTTTCTGGAAACAGGATTCATAACGTCCTGACTTGCCCCAACTTTAATTCTCAAACTGGAACGAGGTTTCTCTTCTGAACTATTAAAGCTGGAGCTAAGTAAAGCTGGTGTTCCTGGGACCTCCCACCCCTTCCGAAGGCAGCCCCCCGCCCTGGCTTCTGCACTCCCATACTGCCCAAGAATGCCCTGCCCCCATCCTCCCCCCACCCCCAGAGGTCCCAGAGACCAGAGGCTTTAATCCAGATCCTTCTCTTACGTCCTCTGACTGCCCTCAGGTCACATGGCTGACAGCCCAAGCCTGTGTTCCTAATTCCTTGTTACTCCCCCACCAAGAAGGCTTCTCCCCTTGGGCAGCTTCATGCCTTTGTCTTTCTCCCACTTTCCAAGTCCCGGATTCACTCCTCTCTGACCTCCCACATGTCGTCAGTCGCCAGGCCTGCTAGCTGCCCCGTCCCAGCCATGCATGCCTCCCTTTTCCCTCATACATCCCCAGGCCCTGAAATATCAAGCCGTGGGCTCCATCCCATAAACACATCATCAGGTGGGCAGACCAGTCTTCCTAACACACTGCTTCACAAAGACCCTGCAGTGTCCCCCCAGCGAGGCACAAACGTCTTTCTGGAACCTGGCCTCTGTCCAGCATCCAGCCTGATCTCCACTGGTGACTCCTTGCAGGGCCCCAGCCCACCGACTTCCACAACCTGATAAAATGAGACCAAAGAGAAAAAGGACCAGGCAAAAAGAAAAGAAATCCACCTGACATATACTGACCAGAAGAAAAGTCCAGGCATTTACAATAATCCATGCAGTCTGCAAAAACCAGGTTCAAGTCTAAGCAGGAAGCTAAATGAGCCTTCCATCCACTGGTCCAGCTCCACTGGTCTTCCTCCTCATTAAGTAAAATCCACTCCAGCTCTCCAGGTCTAGCCAAAGACTCAGCTCCTCCGATTTACTTCTACCCTTCCGAATTCTAAATGTATATGGATTTTGCTTAAACTGACACTAACCAAATAATCTCTGGGTGCCGGTGTGACTGAGCAGACGGTACAAGCATCTCTCTCGTCACCCTCATGAGTCAGGCACACAACAGCTGCTCAACGATTAACTGCTGCGAGCAGAGCAGAGAATGAACAGATGCAGAGTTTGTTAACCAAAGGGGCATATTTTCCCGAGTCTCCACTACCCCTCCTAGTCTCCCAACCCAGCTGGAAGTCTAGACTGGCATGAGCTAAGCTACCCCACCGAGGTAAAGAGGGTCCACACGAATAGTTCCCAGATACAGCCGCATGCGCACGCGCATGCACACACACACACACACACACACACACACACGATTTTTCTCATTTACCTCCAGAATGAACACGAACACACACACACACACACACACACACACACACACACACACACGATTTTTCTCACTTACGTCCGGAACAATAACTGTAAGCTTGGGATTTAAAGCATGATAAACTTTTCCAATGGCCCCCTTGTAACACCAGAAAGGATTGTAATCTTGAGCATATTTTGTGTTGGCGTCTCTGGCAGTGGTGAAGATCTTGTACCAGAGCGTGGCGTTGCTATACGTGTCGGGAGTGCAGTGCGGTGGCTGTCTGCAGGGGAAGAGAGGGAAAGGCGCGTGGTCAGTGGCTTGAGACCTTTACTTGGGCCTCCCCCCCCATCCCTGGCACAACACTGAGAAGAGCCACACGTGTGGAAGGAAGAAATAAGGGACGTACAGTTAAGAAAATAACGTTTTTAGTTCACAGAGTTTTTAAAAAAAATTATTAAACACATACGGAATAAGAAAAAGGCATACAACACTTAGGAGTCTGGTGGTTAAGACTTCTGCCCTCACAGGTCAATGAACACGGTTCTCCTGCATATGATGTAGCCAAAGAGACATTTGCGCCTTTTAAGCCCATTTCCTAAAATTATCTAAATTCCTAGTCACAACTGGAAGTCTTATACACAAGCTTTTTCATTATATTTTATATAACTGGTTATACATAGCCAATAGCAAATGTTTAACTTACCTGTTCTTGTCCTACAAACCTCCAAATGTCTCAAACAGATAAATCAGAGGGTAGCTATTCTTATTTAAAAAGGGTTCATCAGAGAATTCTTTTAAGCTGGCTACGTTCTATGTGTTTTATGTATATACAGATCACTATCTCATTCATAGAGTAAGGAGCCAAAAAACCCCTAAAAAGACCAAGTGGTAACACTGACAGCCACACAAAAAATACATAGTAGAAATTCCAGCAACAGAAACTATTGTATAGAAAATAAGATTCATTTATGCTCTCGATTTAAAATCTAACTCCTTCTGAATAATGGAGATCAAAACTTCATCTTTCGGGAAGCTTGATTATGTCACTCTGGTCACAGGATCAGCTCCTACTCCTCGTTTCTGGGACCTGCTTCTACCAACAGGAAATGCAGCCTCAGAACAGGTAACGACAACCAGATGTGTTTACCACTTGCAGAAGCACTCGCTCGCTCGCTGATACTTCTATGCAGAAGTTCTACCTTTAAGATTCCAAAGTCAACTTAAATAATCTTTTAGCCGCGTCTGGCTGTGACAGTCCTACAGAGTAATTTACTGGAAGCCATCCTGAGAGTCTGCTGCTGGAAGCGCCCCAGTCACGCTCTGGTACATGGAGCTCATGACACGCCCCCACCGGGCTCAGGAAGCCACTTACACGGTGACAGGGAACACGCCTGGGTTGGCCGTGAGGGTCATGCAGGCTGTGAACACCACCTGCTCACAGTGACCGTGAAGGGCGCAGTCGTCAGAACTCCAGGCTGCAGGCAGGGTAAAGGTAATGTTTATCTCCTCGTGGGCTTCCCTGCCTAGGAAAGAGAAATCAGGGGCAGGGGGTGTTTGGTAAACAAAGGGAAGAACTCATATATTTATTATATTCTGGGACTTCATTCTGGAGTCAAACCCACCCAGGAATTTGTCCACCTGTCAGCCCACAGAAGAAACACGTCTGCCTTTGTGGGATGTCAGGAACAAGAGATCTGGGCCAGACTCTGAGTCCTGCTCACCTGGAAGAGCCATGGCTTGGCAAACGGAGCGGGGCCACTGTTTGCCAGGGTCTGGAGATGCCAGGCAAGGGCCCCCAGTGACCAAGTTGGAAAGCTGGGGGCTGGGTGAGCTATTATCACCGCTGTTTTAGCACATGACCAGCACTTGTACCATTTTCAAATTGCTTTTGTATGTGTTCATGTAAAATGTGCCACCAGCCCATGATGTGACCAAAGGAGTACTGCTGTTCCCCTTCCACAGAGGAACAGGCTGAGGATCAGAGGGCAGGGAAGTGGTAAGGGCTAAAGAAGCTTAAACAAAAATAGAGGTGTTCTAGGTCCACTTGATGCCCAGAAGTCACCCTTACCTCATTCCCACGGGAGCAGCTCCCACCTATAAAAGTCAACAGGAGGCTGCCAGGCACTGTAAGTTCCCTAAGGACTTTAAGAGGCTCTTGGTAACAAAGAACCAAAGAGTCTTCTTCTAAGGTCCAGGCCTCTGGGACGAAGCCTTTTCTAATTATTTCAGCTTCCACTACTTCCTCAACATTCTCCTGAATCACTTAAGAGTCTGTCATGGTCAGAGGGCACTATTGGTCAAAGGACAGCGCTCAATGTTCTATAGATGTTTATTTTTTTTATTTTTTGAGAGAGACGATGCGCAAGCGGGAGAGCAACAGAGGAAGAGAGAGAGAATGGTAAGTAGGCTCCACGCCCAGCACAAAGCCCAATTTGGGGCTTGATCTCACAATTGAGATCATGACCTGAGCTAAAATCAAGAATCGGATGCTAAACTGACTGAGCCACTCAGACGCCCCTAGGTGTTCATTTTTAGTATTACTATCACACACTTCCTGTAGCATTTCCTTTGCACCAGGAACTATTTTAAGTGTTTGATGAATATTAATTCATCTTATTTTGGTCTCTTCCATAATCCTAAAATTCCAACTGGACAAGATCGAATCTTGGGCTTCTTCTGGTTCTTTCCAGCAGCTAGGACAGGGCTGAGCTAATGTAGGCATTCAAAAATTTATAGACTAATAAAAATATTTATAGTATGTATTGAAAACGCCAAGTGAGAAACTTGAATAAAAATTTGTGCTTGTAAACATTAAAGCCAGACTAGGCCTTAAAGTTGCTTCTCGGCTGCTTTTATTGAGAGCCTACTACATACCAAGCACTTTAAGTGAAGACGTAGTAGAAATAGTTCCTTCTTGACTTTATTTAGTTCAAACTCAACACAAGGGGAGACATGCAAAAATAGAGTCTGACGAGCAAAACCACATACTGCTAACACTCAGTCTTCGGAGAACTATTGCCTAGGAAAACCTGGAAGGAAAACGGCTGCACTCGCATACCTGAAAGTCCAATCTGATGCCCTAAAATGGTCGAGTACAGATGGGTGATGTTGCGAGAGTACCCTCCAAAGGGCTTCAGCGGGTCCAGGGTTAGGGTGATCGCAACTGAGATGTTAACTGGACCCGAATCCTCCAGGGCCTGAGGGGACTGGGTGGCCGCTCTGGCCTGCCCACTGGTCACTGTGCTCTCCGGAGCCGTGGTGTCATTTGTGAGGTGCTTTAACGTTTCATTCTCAGATACACACAAGTCCAAATCGTTAAACCGCAGCAGAAACGTGTTCCAATCCTGCAGTAAAACGAAACACAGGGAAGTAAGGGTGAGCAAGTCTGAAAGTGCTGCCACCGCACCGTCCGGCCATGACCTGACGACTCCCACGGTGGGGGTCACAGGGCCGCAGGGCAATGACACTTCTGAGTCAATCATTTAAAATAGCACTGACAGTACAGCCATCAGCCTCTGGTGTTGGGGTAACAGTGCAGTTTTCCAAATCACTCTCACATTCACAAGCTAAGTATGAACTCTTCACTGGCATGAGATGGTAAATAAACCAGGAGATTAAACAAACTTATTCAAGAAAATGTGTAAAAAACAAACCAAAATAGCACATTATACATACAGAAAATGAACTAGCTTCAGAACCAAACCTGAAGAGAAAGCTTAAACAAAAGTAGTAAAAATTAAAAGCATTCATCCAAATTTACTTAGCAGTTAAGATCCATTATCTTTTCCTTAAGACTTTATTTTTAAGTAATCTCTACACTCAATGCGGGGCTTGAACTCACAACGCCAAGCTCAAGAGTCACCCGCTCCACCAACCAAGCCAGCGAGGCGCCCCATGATTATTCTTTAAAAATTAGGCAGCCGTGGGGTGCTTGGCTGGCTCAGTCGGAAGGAAAGGCATGTGACTCTTGATCTAGGGGTTGTGAGTTTGAGCCCCACGTTGGGTGTAATGATGATCTAAATAAATAAGGCTGCCTTAAAATAATTCCTCAAGAGGTCAATTCTATACATTTTGCTTCCTCTCTGTAGAATGCAAAAGTGTAGTCAGCACCAATATTCATCTCCCCCTTGTCATGGACTTTGGAACAGGACTACCTTAAAACAGGAACAATTTCAAAAAGGAGGAAAAATGATGTTTTCAGGCTTCTCCTACTATCTGTATTGATGACTTAAATCATAAGCAATTTTAAAAACACATACAGCTGATTGTGTTTTGATTAAACTGAAACCAACCTAGTAAAGTACCGACTTGGTTCCATTTAATTTTCACAGAAATGCAAAGATGAACTCAGGCTGAAACAGCGACAACGAGCTACCCTAGGCTGTCATACAGGACTTTGTTGTCCAAGCAACATTAGTTCACAAAAAGTTGCCCAATGTGAAGACAAACTTACACTTCTAATTACTCTAACACTAGCACTGATCTAAAATGCCACTTGAGGGGCACCTGGGTGGCTTAGTCGGTTAAGCGTCCGACTTTCGCTTGGGTCATGATCTCGCGGTTCGTGGGTTCGTGCCCCGCGTCGGGCTCTGTGCTGACTGCCGGCTCAGAGCCTGGAGCCTATTTCAGAGTCTGTGTCTCCCTCTCTCTCTGACCCTCCCCTGCTCACACTCTCTCTCCCTCTCTCTCTCTCTCTCTCCTAGAAATAAATAAAAATATTAAAAAAAATAATAAAAAATAAATAAATAAAATGCCACTTGAGGGGCGCCTGGGTGGTTCAGTCGGTTGGGCGGCCAGCTTCGGCTCAGGTCATGATCTCACGGTTTGTGGGTTCAAGCCCCGCATCGGGCTCTGTGCTGACAGCAAGCTCAGAGCCTGGAGCCTGCTTCGGATTCTGTCTCCCTCTCTCTTTGACCCTCCCCTGCTCATGCTCTCTCTCTCTCTCTCAGAAATAAATAAATTAAAAAAAAAAACCACTTGATATCCCTGACTCTCCTTCAGGGAGGTGGATCTGAGGCTTTCTCTCCCATCCCCTCATCAGGCTACCTCTTCAAAAAACCTTTTCCTTGCTGCGTTAGAAAATAAAAAGCCATCTGAGCACTCCTCGAGCAGTCAAGTGAGTCTACCGTTACAGCACCAGCCGATCAGCATTTAGTAAGGCTGCAACTCGATGTATCAAATTCCATTCTCCCCAAACCTACAAACTTAGCCGACCACTCAAACACACTAGGGCTGAAAATGAACATTCTCACCTCATCCCTTCATACACCAGACAGGCGAGAACTGAGGCCAAGAGCAACTTTAAGGACTCTCCAATCCCACGGTTGAAGGCACAATCTGGATTAAGTTTTTTTGATTCATAGCCCCAAACGTTTCCCATATTCCTCAGATCCTCATTTGAAAATAAAAGCACTAAGTTAATCACAACCCAAGTTCTGCAGCATCTTGGCACTGGTTTCTTGCAGAGCTTAAGTCCATTTTAACAGCTGGACAAAGCCAATGTCAGGCCCCATTTTGATTATTAAGGACTAATTATCCAGGCTACCTCTTAATCACTTAGCTTGGCCGAATGTTCAACATGGCCTTAGGCTCTGAGGAAAAGTAATGCCGGGATGCTGCGGAGCCCTGATTATGACTAGAATATTCATTTTCAGCCCTAATGTAGGTGCAGCCTATTTGCACAACCTTTAAAGATTCAGGCAGTGTTAGAAGAGAGGGAAAAGTGAGCCAGCCAGCAGGTCTCTTCTTGGCCAGAAACTTTTTGAAAGGGTTTCATGATAGAAATAGCTAAAACCAGTCACCTAAACTGTGAGAGAGTTCACTTGTGAAGGTGGCCCTTCCTGCCAAGGTATTCTACGATCTACAATACCAGAGCGCAGAAAAAACCCTGACCCCCAGTACACTGGGGAGAAGCCTCCTCTTAGTCACGAGGCACACACAACGTGGCAACACTGCAATCTCAACCCCCAGCCCCGCTCCTGCTCCCACCTAGGAACACACCCAAACAGAAAAAGGATGAGAGAAGGCACTCCAAGAATCCACAAAGACAGGAACTCATTTGCCCTCAAAGAAATTTTATCCACCAGTAAACTCACCATGTAATTAATTGAGCATTATTTCTAACATATAAAATACATTTATTAATAGGCACATTATCGTTCACCTCTATTAAGTAAGAATTGTTAATTCTGTATAGTTTCTTTGTATTCACAAAAATACAACTTTTAAGATCTGTATTGTGAAGTTCAAACTATTGTATGCCTGGATTAAGGATTAAAGAGCAATCCCCTAATAATGTATTTAAACTGACCACAACATAAAATCTAGAAGGCAAGTTTGCAGATAACTGAAGTTCTGCTTACTTAAAAAAAAGACAAATAAATGTGGGAATAAGATCCAGTGATCTTATTTCTTTAATATTCCTTCTACAGCAGTGACAAAGCTATCAGTACAGCTAATAAAACTCAATGACATGTGGCTTCAAAACAACAAATATTTACAGTTTTTAAAAATAACAATTAGCCAATTTAAGATAAATTTAAATTATTTATTTAATAATAGCAAATATCTTGTTCTTGGTCTTCCTGACAAACATTTTTACAAATATAGTTTCCAAAATACATGTTTTACTGCTTCAATTGGCAGCATTATTTAAATCAACAGTTATCTACCTACATACCATCTAACAAAGTGAGTCACAGGGAAGACAAAAGACTCAGAATAAATGCTGCTCTTTCTCACTGGATTAAAAAAGTCCCCACCAAAGAAAGGTGTATGGGGGGGGGGGGGTGCAAGGGTGTTCTCCCACTGTGGAAGGTCAGGCCAGCCTGACAGGAGAATGTAGAACATACGATACCTCTGCCATCTCCGGTGACTTAATCTCCTTGATTTTGAAGAAGTAGCCCAAGGTCAGGAAGGCTATTGCCATGGCGCTGACACTGATCATAAAGACCACAAGGGGAGGCCGGCTGCTGATGTACAGCTTCAGGTTCTCCAGGGGGTTGATGCTGAACATTATTCTGATCAGCTCCACCTGAAAGGGATTAATCAGAAGACTCAGGAACTGACTCACCCAAAGAAACCCTAGGATCCCCACTGATGTTTCCTTTAATGGTGTTGGTGGGTGAGGGGCGCCTCACTAGCTCAATGGGTTAAACGTCCGACTCTTGATTTCAGCTCAGGTCAAGATCTCACAGTTTGTGGGTTCCAGCCCGGCCTAGCTAACAGCACAGAGCTCGCTTGGGGTTCTCTCTCCCCATCACCCTCCTGTCCCTTCCCCGTGTGCACGTTCTCTTTCTCTCTCTCAAAGCAAACAAACTTATGAAAAGAAAAGAAAAGCTATAAAAGAAAGTGTTGGAAAGTCACTCACTACTGAACTTGAGAAATGTGTGATCATAAATCCACTCCAAAGCCAAGAAGGCAAAAACACTAAATGTGAACTGTCATTATGTCAAAGTGGTAAGATATTGAGAGATAGGCCTTTCTCTTTCCATCTGAAACTTCTAATTATTCTATAATGAACACTTATTTTTCCATAAGCACTATTATAATAGCACTTGCTATTTCCACTAATAGGACACAAACAGATGCCCACACATACAAGAAACTGAGGATGCTCTCATTTCCTACCATTGAAAGGCTGACTTCTATTTGTTCAACATTCTGTCCTGTTTGCTGCCATACTCACGTCCATCCCAGTGATTGGCACAGAGAGGCATGTATTTAATTGTACCACTCCCCTGCTTAAAGCCCTCCCAAGGCTTCCCACTGGACCTAAGAGGAGATTGGTGACAGCTCCACGATGGCCCACAGGGTTTCGTGATCCAGAAGCCGCACCACTTCCCCTGCTCCCTCACCAGGCTCTCGCCACACTGGCCTTGCTACTGTTCAGGATCACCTTGTCACTTTCTGCAAGGAAGTCAGTGGGGACTCGGAGAGAGATTGCACTGAATCTGTAGATCGGTTTGGGGGATACTGCCATCTTAACAGCACTGCCTTCCAGTCTGTGAACCTTCCCATCTTGGGTCTTCTCTAATTTATTCCAATAAGTTTTGTAGTTTTCAAAGTACACATTTACACTTTGTTTGCCAAATATATTCTGAAGTATTTTATTCTTTCTGGAATTTTTGAACATGTCCTTTATGAAGGTGTTTCCCCCAAATTTCCAATGCTTGTTCTTAAAATGCAGGTTTCCACCCAACAGTCAGCCCTCCCTCACCACCCTCAGCCCCCTCTCAATACCCTGCGTTAGTTCCTTCACACTGTTAAGTGCCAGTCAAGAGTACCATTAATTTTCTACTTGTTTGTTGTCACTCGTCCCTGGTTTCTGAGCTTCATGACAACAGAAATTTTGCCAGTATTGTTCACTGCGATGGCCCTGGTCCCTGGCCCCCTACATCAGGAACTGACATGTCATGAGCAATTATATACATGAACAGACTACAACACTAAACAAAGCAACTAAAAATAAAAATCCGTGACAGCTTTTAAATTCAAAAGAGAAAAAGATGCATCCACACCCATTAAGAACAGTAACCACTTGCAATAAGCCAGGCTGTGGATCCATTCGCCCTCAGAGAATCCTTTGAGATGGAAAATAATATCCTTTGTGCTCTCCCCAGAGTCCACAACTGTGTATGTTCTGTGTACTTTCACATGTATATACCTAATCAGATACAATTACTGATATCACATACAAACACTTGCAGAAAATGATATACTGACTATATCCTTCCGCTTTTTTCACTCAACATTCAGTTTAGGAGATTTATCTGTTCATCTATGCAGATCTAGTTACTGAACTTACCTGCTGTGTAATATGCAACTGTGGTTGGGTTTTGCTGGACTGAGGAGCCCTGTGAGGTGCTTCCCGGGTTCCCTTGGCAGGGCCCCGCGGCAGGCACAAGAGTGGCTCTGACACAAGTAGGTCACAGTGCAGGTCCATGTGCAACCTGACTTGGTCACACCAGATGGCTCTCCAAGGAAGCCGTGACAGTCTGCACTTTCTCCACCATGAAAGGGCTTATCCCTTTCCCAACACGTACCAACACTTGATATTCTCAAGTAAACTCACTGATATGAACCAACAAGATCGATGTGAAATGTTATCTCATCATTATTTTATTTATTTTTATTTTAGAGAGAGTAAGCACAAATGGGGGAGAGGGGCAGAGGGAGAGAGGGAGAATCCTAAGCAGGCCCCAACTCAGTGCAGAGCCCGATGTGGGGCTCAATCCCGTAACCCTGGAATCATGACTGGATCCAAAATCAAAAGTTGGACGCTCAACACACCAAGCCACTTCATCATTATTTTAAACTGCATCTCCCTTGAACTGAGCATCTTTTCACTTCTTTATCAGCCAGTTAGGTTCTTCCTATGTAAACTGCCTGAATCATTGGCCATTTACTAGTTAAGATGTTTGTCTATTTCTTATTAATGTTCAAGAGTTCATTTTATATTCTGGATACTAAGCCTTTCTCAATTTATTATGTTGTGTGTACTCCAAGTCTGTGGATTTTCTTTACTACAGTCATGGTATTTTTGCCATACAAAAGGTTCTTGGTTTTTTAAAAATTTTATTGTTTAATTTACATCCAAGTTAGCTAGCATATAGTTCAACAATGATTTCAGGAGTAGGCTCCTTAATGCCCCTTACCCGTTTACACCATCCCCCCTCCACAGCCCCTCCAATAACTCGTTTGTTCTCCATATTTAAGAGTCTCTTATGTTTTCTCCCCTTCTCTGTTTTTATACTATTTTCGCTTCCCTTCCCTTATGTTCATCTGTTTTGTATCTTAAAGTCTTCATATGGGTGAAGTCATAATGATATGTCTTTCTCTGACTAATTTCGCTTAGAATAATACCCTCTAGTACTATCCACGTAGTTGCAAATGGCAAGATTTCATTCTTTTTGATTGCCGAGTAATACTCCATTGTATTTATATACCACATCTTTATCCTATCCATTCATCTATCAATGGACATTTGGAGCTCCTTCCGTATTTTGGCTACTGTCAACAGTGCTGCTATAAACATTGGGATGCACGTGCCCCTTCGAAACAGCACACCTGTATCCTCTGGGTCACAGGGTAGTTCTAGTTCTAATTTTCTGAGGAACCTCCATACTGTTTCCTGAGTAGCTGCGCCAGACTACATTCCCACCAGCAGTGCAAAAGAGATCCTCTTTCTCCGCATCCTCGCCAACATCTGTTGTTGCCTGAGTTGTTAATTTTAGCTATTCTGACAGGTGTGAGGTGGTAGCTCGTCATGGTTTTGATTTGTATTTCCCTGATGATGAGTGATGTTGAGCATTTTTTTCATGTGTCGGTTGGCCATCTGCATGCCTTCTTTGGAGAAGTGTCTTTTCATGTCTTTTGCCCATTTCTTCACTGGATTATTTGTTTTTTGGGTGTTGAGTTTGAGAAGTTCTTTATATGTTTTGGATACTAACCCTTTATTTGATATGTCATTTGCAAGTATCTTCTTCTATTCCACCTGTTGCCTTTTAGTTTTGCTGATTGTTTCCTTCACTGTGCAGAAGCTTTTTATTTTGATGAGGTCCCAATAGTTCATTTTTGCTTTTGTTTCCCTTACCTCCGGAAACATGTGAGTAAGAAGTTGCTGTGGCCGAGGTCAAAGAGGTTTGCCTACTTTCTTCTTGAGGATTTTGATGGCTTCCTACCTTACATTTAGGTCTTTCATCCATTTTGTGTGTGTGTATGGTGTAAGAAAGTGGTCCAGGTTCACTTTTCTGCACGTCGCTGTCCAGTTTTCCTAGTATCATTTGCTGAAGGGACTGTCTTTATTCCAGTGGATATTCTTTCCTGCTTTGTAGAAGACAAGTTGGCCATACTTTTGGGGTCCATTTCTGGGCTTTCTATTCTGTTCCACTGATCTAAGTGTCTGTTTTTGTGCCAAGGGTTCTTGATTTTGTTTAAATAGCTTTACTGAGATCTAGTTCACATACCACACAATTCACCCATTTAACATATACAATTCAATTCATAGGATTGGGCAATCATCACTAAAATAAATTTTCAAACATTTTCATCATCTCATAAAGAAACCCCATCCTCTTTAGCTGTAACCTCCTATTCCTTCCAGCCCTAAGGCAACCACTAATAACCTCGTCTCTACGATCTGCCTATTCTGAACATTTTACATAAATGGAATCATAATACATGGTCTTTGGTGACCTGACTTCTTTCACTTAGCATGATGTTGTCAAGGTTCATCCACATTGTAGCACACTGTCGCATATACCAGTATTCCATTCTTTTTATTGCCCCAAATATTCCACTGTATGAAATGTTTTTTTCATGTATTTTGCTTATCCATTCATCAGTTGATAGACATTTGTTTCTACTTTTCATCTATTATGAATAATGCTAAGAACGTACATGTGTAACCATCTCGTGTGGACATAGGTTTCCACTTCTCTTGGCTGGTTCTTTCCTATATACCCTATGAGTGGCACTGCTGGGTCATGTGGTAACCACATGTTCAACCGTTGGCAGACCTGCCAGGATATTTTCCAAAGCAACTGTCCCGCTCTGCATTCTCACCTGTAGTATGAATTACAATTTCTCCACAACCTCACCTATACTTGTTACTGTTAGAGCCATCTGCCGGACATGAGTGGTTATCTCGCTGTGGTTTGGTTTGCATTTCCTTAAATAGCTGTAAGTCCTTGATTTTAATGTATGAAATTTTATCAACCTTTGCCTTTTATGATTATGTGTATATTAAGAATCCCTTGGGGATCTTTACATGTCAAAAAGATTTTTATCATTACTTTCCTTTACAAGTCTTATAGTTCTACTTTTGACTTTTAGTCTCTCTTATCTACTTGGAATTGATTTGGGATTCCAGAATCTAGCAGGTTTCTTTCTGGTTTAATCTTTTTCTACATAGGTGGCCAACTGTCCAATCCCATTACCTGAACATGGTTTTATATTGAACATGGATTTAACACGGATTTATAATTCCAGCTCTCATATACATCAAGCTCCCACGTGTATGTGGGTTTGTTT